CCACATTTTTTCCTAATTAAGACACCCAGTCACTGGATCAAGTCAATTCTGACTCACAGCAGCCCCACAGGACTGAGCACAACTTGTCTTTACAGCGTCTGTCACTATAAACCCATATCAGAGCACAGTGTCATCTCTCGACTACATAACAGAAGATTGGCATGAACTGCACCCTGTGGTAAGGACAGCACTGCCTATTGGATGTGCCACCAGAACACCCTGTGAAACCATTGTGCAAGGGTGTGAGGAGGGCATGCTCTAAGAACTGGCCCGCCACTAAAACCACTAAAATTTCTAGGAACCATAAAATCATCCTAATCTGCACAGCCTGTATTAAACCAAGCTGATTACTAATTCCTGGGCTTAACTTGAATCAATGATGTGCCTGTAACTGTCCCCACAATGTGTACATGGGAATTCAGATCCACGGGCTTCTTCCCACACTAAATGAGAGTTGTGCACCCAATGCCAGAATGAAGAGTACTATCATCCTTACAAGCCTCTAAAAAGATTCAACCGGTTATGTACCGTATACACTAGAGTATACGCTGGCCCGAATATAAGCCAAGACACCTAATTTTACCACAAAAAACTGGGAAAACTTATTGACCCGAGTATAAGCCTATGGTGGGAAATGCAGCAACTACTGGTAAATTTCAAAATAAAAATAAATATCAATAAAATTTCATTAATTGATTAGATGTTTTTGAATATTTCAAAGAAAAACCATAATGTAGCTCTGTAAGTGGAAAAGAGGGTCAACACAAACAATATGGCATCAACAATAACTTTAAAAGTACAAAAACCGTAGCTCAATCAGCAACCAAGCTAACACACAAGCGTTAACATCCTTCAAAACCGGATTCCTGCTCATCATCTGTCTGTCCAAACCGAGCTTCAGCTTGAGCTGGTGTGAGGTTATCAGAACAGACACTGTCATCATCGCCAAGTTCACAGTCATCACCATCACTGCTGCCGTTCTCACACACAGCGCTGTCTCCACTGCCATCCACAGCATTACTGATGCACACTTCTTGAAGGCGCGCTGCACCCTGTCCTCTGGAATCTTCCCAGGCATCACGAACCCCCTTTGCTATCAGTTCTATGTCGGCCTTCATCAGATTTCCAACTCTTGTCAGTCGGGCTTGACCAGATGACATCCCTTCATGCCACATCTTTTGCACACGGTCTTTGAAAGGTTTAGTTAAATACACAACTAGGGGATGCAATACAGATGTAAGCCCATCTGGAATAATTTTTCCAATTTCTTTCTCATCAGATGTGTGGGCTCTGAACATATTCCAAACTAGCAATGATGTTTTTTTCTTTAAGGCTGCTCCTGGTCGTCCGTTCCAAATTTCTTCCAACCGTTTTTTGGTTCCATTTTCATCCATCCATCCATCCTTTAATATGTGCACGCACTGTAATTCATGGTGGGAATTTGACCTTTTTAGGCCAGGTCTTTCTTCTAAAAATAAGACAGGTCGCAGCTTAGTTCCATTAGCCAAACATGACAGAATGACTGTTTTTCCATTTCCTGTGGTTCTGAGTAAAATGGTTTTGTCTCCCAAACTTGCCACAGTACTGTGGCTTGGAAGATCAGAGGTCATGGGTGTTTCATCCATCTTCCCAATATCTCCCGGGTCCTAGTTATGGATCCTTCTTTGTTTTATGATGAACGAATGGAATGACACCACGTTTTCATCAAGTCTTTTGGCAACTTCTGTGAAATCTTTGTTTTTTGCTGCAAACAGGACAAACTTATTCATGAAGTGGGTACACCACCCTGCTGACGCAACAAAATTTTCAATGCCCGGTGCTTTTAATTTGTCTTTAGCCATTTGAAGGGCACGTAAGCAAATTCCCATGTGTGTTACACAGTAACCATTTTGACGACACTCCATAACCCATTTATGAAATTCAGTCTCTAGAGTCCCATATGAAGTTGTTAAACCACCTCGAACTTGTTTTGCCTTTGGAATCTATCCAAGTCAGCTTTCCTTTTCTGCCATCCCTCACTTGGGTTTTGTTTTTTTTCCTCGTCAACACAAAATTCCCTACTTGTAATACTGTTATTG